AAAGTTATTACCTCATTACATTTGCAAAGACTATAATAGTCCATTCTGGATCATTTAATGAGCTTCAACAGATGGTTATCTACTTTGTTCTCATTAATTGAGGTGAAATTTCATTACAAGCATGAATTTCAGTGACTTCTTAAATTGGCAAATATAAAAATGTAAGCAATAATGTCAGAGTAGAAAGAAATATAAAAATACTGATTGTGGTTAAGTATACAAACCTTAAATGTATATTCAACTAATACTAACCTGTGGGAGTGGGTTATAGCCCATATAAGCTAATGCCAGGATAATAGATGTTTATGGCAGCAAAAGTCTTTTTTTTTGCTACTACTAATTAACATCATATGCCCCAATAAATGGTTATAATAGAGACAATTACAATGTAAGGAAAGGTAAAAGGCCACATTTTGCCAAGTTTACAGCATGTGTTATAATTAAATGGTAATCCAGTTCTGTGTTGGCTATTCCAAATTATTTATTTATGTTAAAAACAGAGTACAAGAAAGAATCAATGGAGTTTGTCCCACAAATAATCATGCAAAGCAATCTTAAATAAGCTCAACTAGACTCTCTATGGTAAATTGTGTAAGGATTACTACATGACCGAATATCACTTCTCCTATTGGCTTCAGAGAATGGATTTTGTGTCTTGTTGACAATTATACGCATTAGCTGTGCAGCAGAGCTTCAGATTCAAAAGGCAAAGTGGTGCTTTGGAGTGTGTGGAGCAAGCAAATAGCACCTGTCTACAACTTCTTAAACCCAGCACATCTGTTTCCAGGATCATACTGCAGTTGAATAGAGTTGCGTGAGATTCCAGAGAAATGTGCAGCTACTTTAAGGAGTTGTAGGTAGGTGAAACATTCATCCCCCTGTACAGTTTGAAATACCTTTTTGCCTTTGAATCTAAAGAACTGTTCAGTCCCATAAAACCAACATAGCAAACAAATATATTCTTTTTTTTCATAGCCACCATTCCCAGAAGTAGCATGTAGATATGATAGCAATTACACTTGGTGGTGGTGGTAAAGAGAATAAGACAAGAATTCAGGCACTTTTCTCTGAACAATCTATTAAGAGGGAAAATGCAGCCCTAGATCTACTGAACTCACATTGCCAGAATTATTTAGTATCACAGAATAATAATGGCTGCATTTAGGAGTCCAAAAGAGAGCTGGACAGAATTCTGGTTACAGGCACTGTTTGTTTGTTTGTTTTTTAAAACGAAAACCTTCTGATACACCACATGGAGCTTAGAAAAAACATAAACTTAAGAGTTAAGAACACTCTGACAGTATTTATTTTCAATAGCAAAACTGAATAAAACTTATAGCACTCCTTTATAGAAATGAACAGTATACCAGGTTAATACAATTTTTCCTCATTTCAACAGAATGATTTAAAGATAGCAACATAAAAGACTCCTTTTGCTGCTACTGGTAAAAATAGACTATAAGAAATGCTTTCCCATTTCTGGACTGAAGGCCTCCAGCTTACAACCTAATAGCATTCTAAACGTTTAACCTGTGAACAAGGTACTAGAGAGACAGAACTGGCTTCATCTTGAATTTCATTTCCTGAGTTTCATCAGACGTTATTCTCAGGATCCAAATCTATAATTATACAACTTCACATTTAAGGTGGGGCAAATTGCAAATCACTGCATCTTCATGGTTTCTTATTAATACACAGCACATTATAATAATTCTTGAAAGTTCCAAAATAAACACATTGAAAAGAAATACAAATCTGTGAAAAAAACTGTTGAAAAAACTGCTCATGTTATTATTTTACTATTGATGCTTAAAAACCAAGAATCGTGAATGAAATGTTTGTTGTTTCAAATGTTGAGATATTTCCTTGAAAGAAAATAGATTCCCACTTATGATTACTGAAAGCTTGCAGTTCCCTAGGTCTATAGCTTCTCACTATTATCACTGTAATTTTCAACATACAGTTCTTAGATAGTTCCAAAACTCCTTTACCTTCTTTTTTTTTTAAAAAAAAAATTCAATACATTTCTATTATTTTGTCTTTCACTCTCTTCCTGCACCACAGGTGGAAGTTTGACTGGGTTCAAAAGCAATTCTGAAGAACAAGGCAGCCATAAGAACAAGAATAAACAATTGCTTCTGCCTCTTTGCCTGACTTTTCCCAGCATGAACACTATTCTTCACTCTACTATCAGCAGCTGATACTTAAATTGTCAGGAAAACAGAAACAACATAAATAGAAAAACAGTTATGCTTCCAAAACCTCCACATACTTCCTAACCCACTGCAGACTCTATAACGACAAGTCCCATTCTGGATTAACCACTGGATATACAATTAAATAACAAATATTTAGAATTTTTAATCTGATATACAAGGACCTCTTTATAAATGAATTGTGGAATCCATTCATATTTCCACTTTTCAATATCGCTCTTACAAAGAAAAAAAAGAATTCAATGGGACGAGTCACAATATTCTTCAAGTTTAATATGACCTGACTCTCCTTATTATGAATACTATAAAGCAGTGATGGCGAACCTTTTAGAGACCGAGTGCCCAAACTGCAACCCAAACCCCACTTATGTATTGTCGGGTGCCGGGTGGGTGTGGCCCATTGGGTGGGTGTGGCCCATTGGGTTGGCATGGCTGCTGTGGTAACAGCAGACTGGGTGGGACTAAAAAGTTCAATCAATCAATTCCAACTTTGCAAGATCTTTTTTTCCCTGCGAGAAGTTGAAATTGACTGATTGATTGAACCTTTTTTTTTGTACACGGCGGCAGAGACCTAAAGTACAAAAGATTTTATAAAACCTAGCTGAAGGCCTAGGACTGGGGCGACGGTGCGTGTGCCCACAGAGAGGGCTCTGAGTGCCACCTCTGGCACCCGTGCCATAGGTTCGCCACCACTGCTATAAAGGAAACATATATTTTTTTTATCAAATACTCTCTCTTATTTAAAGTAGTCTCCTTGGAGGTAAGTGAATTCTGTGGATTCATGGACAAGTCCACTCTTGATAAAAATTGCCACCATTTCCTTTCAGGATTTTTTAAAAACTTTGCAGCTTAGTCTAAAGCTCTTGAGATTACAAGATGGTCTCCCATCCAGTTGCAAATAATGTCTGACATTAGCTTAGCTTTTTCTCATTCAGCTACCTGCTATGATCTTACTGTTTTGTTTTACCAATTATAGTACTTCAACAAAAGCAACTATGGCCAGTGAAACATATGTAACAAATTGCAAAGGACAACAATAATAAGTAAAACACTATCAAAGATATGAAAATTACTAAGGCATTGTAACATTTAATCCACTTACTGTATAAGAGTTACCAAGTGGATCCTGTCAAGAGGTTTACATTCATGATGTTTACAATGGTACAACAGAAGCAATCAAATCAACAATAGTAGAAATGGTAGAATAGGTGTTTCAAAGACAAAATAATAGAAGTGATTTCAGAGAAGGAAAAGGAAGTCAATCCAGTGTCTAGAAATGTAAGGAAATTCACAATGGAAGTTATCAAAGAAAACAAAACATAATGATGGGAAAAAATAGAAGCAATAAGTTAAACAGAATGTTACAGACACTACGAGGAGAAATTTCAGCAAGCAGATTAGTGTACTAAAAATCACAGAATCATAGGATTGGAACAGACCTCAGAGATCTTCTAGTACAGCCCCCTACCCAACACATAAAGGGGTTTCTTGCAGTGATGAAAAGGAAGAGGGCATGGATGTGCAATGGAAGAAATGAAGGGAAAGCAATGGCAGCAACACAATTGAAGTATTTTTAGTGTATGTGTTATTAGTGCTGTTATTAGTGCTGGAACACCACCAGTAAAAGAACACAGGCACAATTGTAAACATAAATAGCAAAGCTGAAAACATATATATGGGGAAAACACATGAAATGATGTGGTTCCAAGAAAAGTTATACCATAAGCTTTTCAAAGAAATCAAGAGGGGATAGACAAGGAAAGTTGTATTTAGGATAATGGTGCAGGAGCAAAAGTGGCAAATTTCACTGGGAGACTATCAGTGATGGCAATGCTACGATTGGCGATTAGCAGGGTCCGTATCAGCGACGGATACTAAAATCGAGAAAAGAAGGCTGGAGAGATGGAAGTGACAAGCAGTCAATGACGACGACATGGCAATGAGGATGTTGACGGCAGAAGCTTCACAGCAACGGTGCCAGTTATAAAGGGCATCATGACAGGGACGGCTGCACGGATGTGCCGGATTGCAGCAATGGCAGTTATCAGCCGCCGCTGCCACTACTGTGCAATGTTACCCACGGAAAGGAAAAGTGACCCACAACGGTACAGCAACTGAAGAGAGACGAAAGGATACTAAATAAATAGCTGCGGAGGAAAATAAGAGCAGGAACAATGAGACTCGGGGAAGTCACGTAGCAGCATTTTGACCCTGGCAGCCAAGAAGAGCGCAGGTGGTACAGGTGGTGCCCAAAATGGTCAGCAGGGCACAGCACACGGCATGGCAGCCCCAGGGAGGCTGAGCAAAGGTCACCAAAGGTTACAGGGCCAGTGGCCAAGGCAGGCCTCCCCCCCCCGCGCACACCTGGGCAGGTGGGAGGAGCCCTGTCCCCTCTCACCTGCCACCCTCCCCGGTTTGGTCCTCACCTGGTGAGGAAGGCGCCCTGCTGGAGTGGGGAGGCCTGGCCCAGAGGAGCGGGACTCACTGGGCGGACTTCTGCAGCCCGGCTGCCGCCCGGGCTCGCCTGGCTTGCCAACCTCGGCCGCCTTCCCTCTTTTTTTTTCCCCCCCAACTTGTCTCGGCCCGGCGAGCTTCAGGCCCCAACCGTCGTCGTCGCCGCCGCCGCCGCCGCCGCCACCGACGACGACGACGACGCCACCACCTCCTCCCCCTCCATGGCTGCCGCTCACCCGGCTGCCGCTGCTGCATTGTGGGAAGCGGCCGTCTGAGTCGGACCCACCTCGCTCGCCGCCGCCGCCGCCCAGACCTGCGCCTGCAGCAGCAGCAGCAGCAACCGCCGCCGCCGCCTCCGCCGCTGCCATGGGAGCTGTAACCGACGGTGAGAGACGGAGCGACCCCCGGAGCCGGCCGCGACCTCCCTTGCCGCCTGCTCCCGCCCGCTTTTCCCGGACGGGCCCAGCTTGAGCGGCCCCGCCACCTTCCCCTCTTGGCCGGTAGGGCCTTTCCGACGCGGCTCGGCGCTGCCTTTAATCCTCAGCCGTGGTGGTGGTGGGGATGGGGGGTGGGGGGGAGCGGAGGGAGAAGGGTCTGGATTCGCTTTCTCTCGCCCCCCAACCCGGGATTAGGAGGACTCCCTCCCCCGCCGGCTGAGCGGCCCGATGCCTCCCGGGCTGGTTTCTGCCTTGACACGGCGGTCTCGCAGCTCGCCGTGGCGGAGGTTCCCTCGATCCCCCGAGGCACAGAAAGCGGCGGCCACGAGGGTCTTTTGGGGTTTGGGTTTGGGTTTTGCAAATTCAGCCGTGGGCTTAGTTTGGGGCTCGATGGCGGGACTTGCCCGGAAAATCGGGTCCAGTTCATTAAATACACCAAGGGAAAGCTTCGTTTAGGTCAGGGGTAGTCAACCTTGGCTCTTTTATGACTCGTGGACTTCAACTCCCAGAATTCCTGAGCCAGCAAAGCTGGCTCAGGAATTCTGGGAGTTGAAGTCCACGAGTCATAAAAGAGCCAAGGTTGACTACCCCTGGTTTAGGTGATGAAGTCAGCCTATTTGGGGTTGGGGAGTCGGGCGGGGGGTGTTTTGAAATATGAATGAACGCTTACTTCTCTTAGTACAGCTAAGCTGCAGGAATAGGGTCGATGAATGGGGGTGTTATTATTAAAATGTATTATTGGCCCTTGACCAGCTCCAGCGGACTCTGGGCGGCGCACAAAACTAAAAAGACACAAAAGCAGCTAAAAGAGAGCTAAAGCTAGTAAGCCCGCAGGCAACTCGGACTGTGCTGTAACAAATTTCACAAAACAGAACGGGGATCAAATAACAAACATCAAACATAACAAGTGTCATCAGAGCGATAGGGGGAAAACTAACACACACACACACACACACACCGTGCTAGGTGGCAATCCTGATTTTTTTTTTTTCTTCAGTTCACATCTCTGCTCTTACACGTTTTTATACAATTCCTTTTTAATAATGACCTGTGTTCTGCCAGGAGGGTATGTGGCACCTTTGGTGTTAAAGAGGCAAATGTTACACTGATTTTCAGGTAAGTAATCTGCAACTTTAAAAATTAGGATTAGAAAAACCAGAAGGAGAAAAGGAAGGAGAAAGAATGTGTGTATGATGTTTCATATTCAACAAGTTGGGCTACGGAGGAGGTGATTCTAGATCAGGGTTCCATAAAGTGGTCAATATCATCCTCAAAGATTCGATGGGGACTATCAAAGAATCAATTATTATTATTCATTGCACAGTCATCCAGATGTTTAGACTCGATTTGGCATTTTTGTCCACCTATTGAGGCCTTCCCAAGGGCCTTGTTGTTGTTCTGTTAATTAAAGTGGTATATATTAAAATATTTTTATATAATAAATGAACAATCTGAAATTTCAGGCAAGAGTCGATGACGTGAAGAGTTGGGGAACCCTGTTTGAGATCTTGGCATCCCAAGAAACTGGAACATACACTGTCATGCCTTGAGCTTTTATTCTTTACAACTTTCTTATAAATGGACATGATACTTATTTATAGAGAACACTGGAATAAGGCAAAGGAATGTTATGCTTGCTGACCCAATCCATAACTTGCACAAATTCTCAGAATTAGCCATTCAAATTGCTGGTTATTATCAATAAAACCTTCATAGCATATATCTGAGAGGGCCCTCTATCTTCTATGGCAGGGGTCCCCAACTCCCAGGCCATAGCCCATTACCGGGCCTTGAGTCATTCAGAATAGGGCCATGGAAGTGATGGGCAAGCAAGCATGCGCATCCCACTTGTGTGAACAACAGACGCTCGTGCCCTTTGCTCACGCAAATGGAGCTGTGCATGCGCGCCCGCACTTGCCCACACGTGCAGAACCATCCCCTCCCCCCCACCACTGATCCACAAAACCAGGAAGGTTGGGGAACTCTGTCCTATAGTTCAGCTCAGAATTATTTTGAGGTGAGATGACCTCTATATCTCAAAAAAAGAAAAAAAATGTCTGAAGAAAATCTCTTGTCTATTACTTTTAGCACTCTGCATATGACCAGAGACTTAGGTGTTTTTTTTTTTACTGCTTTTTTACCAATCATACAGACTCTACTGGACATGTTAGCAGTTTGTCTTTACATACTAAGGCTGCACAAAATTAATGATTCTTCCTTATTCCTATTCTTCCTCCAGTTTTCCTGATCATTAATGTATTTTTTCTGCACAAGAATGTTAGTTGATAGCAAGACCTTGCCATACCCTATTTCCAGGCCCGGTTGTATTTTCTTTAAAGATATCTTGATTTTCTGCACATAACTCTTTTTTTGCTCTTGTTTCTCATTGATGCCTTATTAACTTCCTGTTTTATTCCAATTGTACAGCTCCAATACTTTTATATAGCTTATTCTATTTTCAGATTTTGTTCTTCTGTAGATATACCCCATGGATTTAAAGATTAACTGATCACTTTTTCCTCCCAATACTTGAAATTTATTTAGTGTATTTATATTTTGATGAACTTTTTTTATAAAGTTGTAGTTAATTTTTAAATACCGTATTTATCGGCGTATAACACGCACAGGCGTATAACACGCACCTTCATTTTAAGAGGGAAATTTCAAGAAAAAAAAAGCGCCGGCTCGAGAGCGAAAGCAAAAGGGGAGGGGGAGTGGGGCTTCGTTCACACGCGGATCCCCATGCTCGTATTTATTTACCGTATTATGCCCCGGCTGGCGGCGGCGGCAG